GGATTTAGCATAGGGGGTGGTGCAGGAAGGGGAAATCGAGGTATATTTAACATTGGAAAAGCTCATGTGACCAAGATGGATAAGAATTCGAAAAATAAGGTAAGAATACCAGGTGAAGATTTGTTGGTAGTTCTAGTTGTACTTTTAGCTTTCTATTGATCAAGTGAAAAGCACAGAGTTATTTTTTCTTGTTGTATTTGTCAATGATATTGAGTAACCAACAATTACATTTGTGTGTACTTGTTGCTCATCTCTCAATAGAAAGAACTGCTTGCAATACCTATATTCTTTTCTCATATGTAATGGTGTAACTGTCCTAATTTCTCCCAATGTGTAAACCAGGTGTATTTCAAAGATGTTGCTGGCTGTGATGAAGCCAAACAAGAAATAATGGAGTTTGTGCATTTCCTGAAAAATCCTAAGAAGTATGAGGAACTGGGAGCTAAAATACCAAAAGGTGCCCTTCTTGTAGGTCCTCCTGGTACAGGAAAGACGCTTCTTGCAAAAGCAACTGCGGGCGAATCTGATGTACCGTTTCTGTCAATTTCTGGTTCAGATTTCATGGAAATGTTTGTTGGTGTTGGACCATCCAGGGTAAGAAACTTGTTTCAAGAAGCAAGACAGTGTGCCCCTAGTATAATTTTCATTGATGAAATTGATGCTATTGGTCGAGCAAGAGGTCGTGGAGGTTTCTCAGGTTCAAATGATGAACGAGAAAGCACGCTGAATCAGTTGCTTGTAGAGATGGATGGGTTTGGAACCACCTCTGGAGTGGTTGTACTTGCTGGTACCAACAGACCTGATATCTTGGATAAGGCTTTATTAAGACCTGGCCGATTTGATCGTCAAATTACAATAGATAAACCTGATATTAAAGGCCGCGAGCAGATTTTTCGCATTTATCTTAAAAAGATTAAGCTAGATAATGATCCCTCATTTTATTCCCAAAGATTAGCTGCTCTTACTCCCGGATTTGCTGGAGCTGACATTGCCAATGTTTGTAATGAGGCTGCTTTGGTTGCTGCAAGAAGTGAAGAAACACAGGTTACAATGCAGCATTTTGAGGCTGCTATTGATAGGATCATTGGTGGATTAGAGAAGAAAAATAAGGTAATTTTTTCTTCTACCTTATTGTTTTTCTTAAGAAAATGTTTCTTGTTTGTATTGACTCTTGTTCTCTTCAGGTATGTTAAACCTTATTCTGTAGATTGCCTTCTTTTTTACCTTGTTACAAATATAAGAATCAAGAGTTAAACTTATCTTACTTAAAGAATAAGTGATGACATTTTGTATGGTTATCGTGCAGCAATTCGTAAATTTACAAAAACTGTCTATGCGTTTTGGATTTCATTAGCTATTTGATGACTTTGTTATGTGGAAAATGATGCCATAAATATTTAGTCATGCGGCTATTGAGCCATGGTGTTGTATTCCTTGAGTGAGTATCAATATTCTCTTTAGCAGGTTGAGCTGGTGAGTTGATTACCGAACATGTTAATATTGCGTGGTCTAAGAATGTCTTCACACGTGAAAACTTATCTGTGCTTGTCTGTACTCTAGGTAATTAGCAAGTTGGAACGCCGAACTGTTGCTTACCATGAAGCAGGTCATGCTGTTGCCGGATGGTTTTTGGAGCATGCAGAGCCCCTCCTGAAAGTAACAATTGTTCCTCGTGGTACTGCAGCTCTGGGCTTTGCTCAATATGTACCTAATGAGAACCTCCTAATGACTAAAGAGCAGCTCTTGGACATGACATGTATGACTCTCGGAGGCCGTGCATCCGAAGAGGTGCAAAGTGTCCCTCTTGACAGATATGCTTCTTGGAATTTTTTTCTATTAATGAGTTTCGTCGATGTTAAATTCTAGATCTATTTTCTATTACACTTGAAGTAATTCATATAATCTTTGGATGGAGTCGGTGGCAAATTCTCTTTTGTGATTTAAGAGGTAGCCTCTTCACAAATGATTAATAAAAGCTAGCGGAGAATGATTGTATTGGTTGTTTCAGGTTTTGCTGGGGAAGATCTCCACTGGTGCGCAGAACGACCTGGAGAAAGTGACGAAAATGACTTATGCCCAGGTTGCAGTATATGGTTTCAGTGACAAGGTTGGGCTCCTCTCTTTCCCCCAGCGAGAAGATGGTTTCGAGATGACCAAGCCTTATAGTAGCAAGACTGGAGCCATCATCGACAACGAGGTGAGGGAATGGATTTCCAAGGCCTACGAGAAGACGGTTGAATTGATAAAGGAGCACAAAGATCATGTGGCACAAGTTGCCAAGCTGCTGCTTGAAAAGGAAGTCCTGCACCAGGAAGACTTGGTGCGGGTCCTGGGAGAGCGGCCATTCAAATCGAGTGAGCCAACGAATTATGACAGATTCAAACAAGGTTTTCAGGAGGAAGAGGAAAACAAGAGCAGCCTCGAGACACTTGACGACGATGTCGTTCCTACATAAGCGTATGGTTTTCTGTAGTGTATTCAGATGCTACTTCTATAGATGCTTGTTCATCTTTCCGGATCCAAAATAAATGTACAAATCTGCATCCACATTCATAGAATAAAAAAAAAGGGGTTGGGTGTAACTGTTTTACTAAGTTAATGTACGTGAGGTCGAGATGCTCCTCCCCCTTTATGGTGGATCCATCCACATTGGATCAGCAGTTCTTCTTTTGGTGTTGATTTCACTTTGCCTTGCTAGTAATACAGGGTTTGGATGAGGCACGACCTGTTTGCTAATGCATCCTTCGATTACATAACCATCTGTCCACATATCCACTATTTTGGATTCTGTGGTTATGATCTTTGTCGACCTCTTCTCTTCTGAGGGAAGATGATGAAATGGATCTGACCCTTGAATTGAAGGTGTATTGGCCTTCTGCCTTGTGTATTAATTCAACAGGAGGCTTGTGTTTTCTCTCTTTTTTTTGTTTTCTTTTCTTGTTATTTGGCAAACGCGAAACATGAGATGGGGGCATAAGAGAAGAGGAAATGGTTTCCGGAGCAAAAGGAACAAATCTTGGCTTCTTGAGGATGTTTGTTTTCTTTTTTTCTCACCAGAGAAAAAATTTTACTTAATCCATATTGATTAATTTAGGAGATTTTTATTGATAATCTATTTTTACTATTTATAATCTCATTTTAATAACTTATATTATTTCTAAGATACCCTTCTACAAAAGTATATAAATACTTTAAATGTACCAATTAATTCCAACACTTTTTCAACCTCTTCCATCCGACTTTTTTTTTTTTTTTTTTTCTTTCTGATCTTGTTCTTTTTCTTTAGCTTTTGCAATCTCCTCTTAGTCGCTTTTTTCTTCTCCTAATCATAATGGTCGGAGAGAATATAGTGATGTCGGACGAGAGTGATAGAATGTTTCTTTTATAATAGAAGAATATATAAAAAATAAAACATAATAACTAAAAGATAATAGGAAAACAAATTGATAAGTATTAGACTCGCTTAGCATTATGAGAATACTTCCGAAATGAAACCTCGTACCTTCACATGTCGCAAGTAGACGATGTAATCATACTATTGGAAAACAAATGAAGCATTCCATGATGAATTCATACCATCGAAACCTTGTACCTTCGTGTGACACGTGGATGATACAATCATATTATCGCAAAACAAATAAAGTCTTACTTCGTGGAATCGTATCATCACAAAATAAACGTGGCTTCGCACCAATGATACTCAAGGTAAGGAAAAGAACTCATTTCATCGATCCATTTCTGATTTATTTGCATTACAATATTCTTACCCCTTTTATAGGCTAAATTACAAGGAGAAAATAAAAAATAAAAAAATTATAATTGAATCAAATCAAATATATGATTTGATCTTTTCGATAATATTCTTGATTAATATGCTTATATTCTTATAAGATCAATCTTGATTAATAATTATGAATCTTCAATCATAATTATAATTTTTTTTTTAAATTCATATTTTCCTCTTCCTCAAGTAAAGTAGGAAACTATATCAAAATTATTAGTATGTTAGCAAAATTATCACGTGACAATTTATGATATACAAAATAATCTTTAAACTAATCAAATTTATTTGAATAAAAGATAGATAAAATTAATTCTACATCATATGCTTCCGTTACGTAAAACCTCACCTCCAAGTTCATATAATTGAGATATGGATCGATCTTGATCATAGAACATTTTAACTAAACTAAGAACTATGATATCAAATATGATGTAGGATGATAGAATTTTTTTTTTTTTGATAATAGGGAAACATAAAGGAGAGGAATAGAATATAATAACAGAAAGATAATAGAAAAATAAATGGATAACTAATAAGTAATATCAATAGGTGGATAATGAAATGGTACCATTAGAAAACAAATAAGTAATATCAATAATATTACTTATTGATATGCTTCCATCCTTGTAGGGATTAATCTTCACAAAATTTTTTATAGTGATTTTAAATTTTCAATTATAATCATAATTTTTTTTTCAAATCCTTTTGATATTTTTTTCTTAAGTAAAGGAGAAATCTAGACAAGAATTATTTAGTATAGTATCATGTGGTAACTCAAAAAAACTTTAAATTAATTAAATTTATTTAAATAAAAAATAGACAATATTGATTCAACATCATATCATATGGTTAGGATTGTGATATCGAAGGATGCTCATGATGGACGAATGAAATTGGTTATATAAAATAATAATAATCGAGAGATTAAATATGATTGATGATTGAGAAGTTATAAATATTAAAATTATTTTTTATTAATGTGATAGAGTTGACATAAATCGTATCCACATTAGATTAAAATGAACCTATAAATAAAATAACATAAACCTATCAACACTAAATTAAAATGCGCATATTAAGCAAATATAAAAATTTTATTATGGAGCAAAATTAGTGATGACATGGATACGTCTTTATTGCCACGTCCTTTTACAAAAAAAGAAAAAATAAATCACCTTCTCCACAATTAGGAGCCAAAAAAAAAACAATCCCAAGCAAAAGAAACTCACGAGAACAGACACGAAAAGGGCTTGGGGAGAAGCCTCCCATGGACGAGCCGAATCCAAAGCCCTTGAAGTCTAGCATTTGGGAAGATCCGACGGCGGAGGTGGCAGCTTTTGGTGAGGAAGGCTTCCATCCAACACCAACCAGGCCATCTTCAAACCCCAGCTCGTGTGCACCTCCAAGTGGCAGTGCATGAACCACACACCCGGGTTGTCCGCCAGGAAACGGATGGCCACCCAGCCGCCGGCCGGCACCCCTACGGTGTTCCGCTCCACGGGGTCCACCAGGTTGAACTTGGTCGGGTCCTTCGCCGGATCGTAATTGCCGAATCCTTGCCCCACGACGAAGAAGTTGAAGCCATGGAGGTGCAGCGGGTGGCTCTCTGCTCCTAGAATGCTGGTGTCCTGCATCACAAGCTCCACGCTGGTGTTGAAGGGGAGCACCATTAGCTTCGTCCCGTTGCCCACCAACGTGTTGTTGGGCGGAGTCCCTGTGTAGTTGAACGGCATCAGCGGGGTGACGGGGAAGTCCGGCATGTAGACGCCCCTCGACTGCCCCAGGAAGTGCGCCTGCAGGAGGGCGGTGGTCGGCAGCGCGAAGGAGACGTTGTTGACGGTCGCCGAGAACTTGGTGCCGTTTGGCCCCTGGCACATCTGGTTCTCCGGGCAGGGGCTCGAACCGAGGCCCACGGTGAAGAAGACGCGCCGGTCGACGGCCTGCGGTACATTTGCCGGGAACCGAGCCGTCGCCAGACTCCGTAACTTGCCGGTGAAGTTGGCGAAGAAGGAGGTGTCGTTCAGGGACGGAAGGGTGGGTTTATACAGTGGGAGCTTACTATTGAAGCTGGCCCGGGACGAACTATTGGGATTACGGTACTCGAGGACGCCGGCGACGGTCGAGTTGTCGAATGTGCCAGATCCGGTGACGTATGGGCTGGCGCTCATGAAGAACATGGCATTAGGGTAATCAGGCTTGGCGCGGAGGAGGACGTCGGTGGTTTGGCCTGGTGAGATGAGGAGGGCATCACTTTCGAAGGGCTTCACGTAGACAGCGTCGACATCGACGACGGTGAGGGTGTGGTTGGCGATGCCGAAGAAGAGCTCGTCGTTGAGTGCAGCGTTGATGAGGCGGAGCAAGTACGTCGTCCCCGGCTTCACCTTCAGCTTGAACGTATCTGCATGCATGCATGCGGCAGCGTGCCATCCAGTCTTAGGCGTGGGATGCTACTCTCTCTCTCTCTCTCCGATATATATATATCAATCACTTGATTGCAGAGCTTTGATACCTTTAGCGGAGCAATTGTAGAAAGGACCAGGGAGGCCATTGATGGTGTAGGCGTCTGACACATTCGGTCCTCCACCAGTCTCAAGTGCCTGGCTGATGACGGCCTCCGCATCAGCCTTCCACCACTCCCCTGCATCAAGACTAATGGAGTCAATCTATGGCGTCCAAGCATCAAGCCGAGGCTGGTGATGGAAGAGCTCGAGGTTACCCAGGATGACGGGGACTTCTTTGTAGGGTTTGGCGAAGGGGTAGGGAACCCCCAGCTGGGGGAGGACGACGATGGGGCCGTAGAGGGTGGCTCTCAGCCACGAGATGTGGGCGTGCCAGAAGAAGGTGCCTCTTTGGCCCACGATGGTGAAGTTGTACACGTAGCTGTGGCCGGTTTGAATCGGGCATTGGGTCACATAAGCCGGTCCATCGGCCCAACCACTTCGCAATTGCCGAATGCCATGCCTGTTCTCGAATATTATCGTCCAACGATGGGTCAATTAGAGGCTAATAGATTAAAGCTTGTGGGCTTCGGTTCAGCACAGGAAAGGAAATCCGTACCAATGCAAGGTGACATTGTGCTCGACATGGTTAACCACCTTGACGACAACTCGATCGCCTTCTCTCGCTACTATCTTTGGCCCCGGGAATTGACCATTGACGGTCACAATGGACTTGGTGTGGCACAGTCGTGTTGCATTTGCCATTTGGATCTGCATGTTACATGGTATCGGGATAAGAATAATCTTCCTTACAGTTGCACTGCAATGGAGGAAAGCGAGCTGAGAACACACATCGAACTTGTAATGCCTGGTTATGCCGGTTGGTGGGGCGACTGCGGCGTCCGAGAGAGCAAGCAACGCGATGCATGAGAGAAGGAAGGCCTTCACGAGGAGGTCAGATGACGAAGAGGCCATCGTTGTTCCTACGGTGAAGTGGGAGAGATGACAGAGAGGAAAAGGATGCTTAATTGGTGGGAATCCATGAGAAGCCAAGAGAAGTATATATAGGTGAACAAGAGACGCAGCATCGGCCTCGTTTGCTGTACTGTTTGGTGGACGACACCACGTCGAAGGGATGCTGGTCCATGTTAGCTTCAGAGTATAGGCAAAGTCAACTTACATACGTACATACATATCGTCTCTCCGGACTTCACCTTGAAGTTATATTGGTGACATAAATATACATAAATAAATATATATATATATATATAATTTCTTGATTATCTTCATGAAAATTGTTTATACATATAATATTTATTTACAAGCAGGTAGATGTGGTATCGAAATCAAGATATTGGTGATATGAGGGGGTTGGTAGTTTCAAAGGCGGAGAGAGATGTCCGAACATACTTCACCTAAGTTTTCAATTTATTATTCTTCTTTTAGGGTCACAATGACCTCCAACTGCCAACTCCAAACAAACTTAACCAAGAAGATACTGATTAGAAGATTTCTGAAGTATATGCTTCTCCTCCTCTTTGAAGTCAGATCCCAGTCAGCTGCATTGACCACGGGTTGGATTCAACTCAGAATCAAATCGGTCAAGAACCGAAATCAGATCAATGATTTTAAATTGAATCAGAATCAGGTTCCGTTCCTGTTCTTAAACTCTGGAATCGAAACCCAAATCAAAATTTCAAAACCGAAATCAAAATTGATGATTCTAAATCAGTTCCAAACCCCTACACATGACAAGTTTATCACTTCCTTGGTTTAATAACGATTCGAGCCACCATCATAAAATTCCGATTCCAAGTTCGATATAACTGAGGACAAGGATAAGCAAGACTACAGGGGACACCCATGCCCCGTGCAAAATGTTCAAACCCAGCCATGAAGTTGTGAAGACATTTCATCATATGGCAGGCATAAAGCAGACTCTAAAGCAATTTGAAAAAGTGATTGAAGAGGAAATGGTCCATACTTCTCTACAAGCCAATAATCGTACTATCCGAATCCATATCAAATGCCACAAGAGTCTAGTTAGCACAATTTGCCAACATTTATCTTCGTCCAAGTAGTGGAACTTAAATAAATGTACTTCTCATCGTTTCCGCTTATAGGTCTTCCATTGCTTCAAGATGTAATTTATCACTTCTGTAAGTGTTGCTTTCCGTTCTGCTTTTGAGTTCCAGAGTTCTGGGATGGGATATCTACCACTTGGATTGTACTCGTTCATCTCGAGTAGGGCTGTAGTTACAGCTTTGTAGACTGCATCACCCAATTCCTCCTTTAAAGCTCGTAATTTTTCATCATCCTCCTTTATAAATTCCTGCAACAGAATATCAATGTTAGATACGCTCAAAGAAAGTGAAAGCTAAAGATAGAGAACATTAATCTCTCGAGAGATAAAGAATAAAAGAATAAACAAGAACGGAAACTAAATGCACATGCAGCAGGATGACAAGAACGGAGACATAAAAGAGATTAAGCCCCCTAAATTCCAATCTAGTTATGAACCCACCAAGTTTCCCAGGTTACCACAGCTGCAAGAAAGGTTAAAAAAACAAACAAGAAAACAAAGTGGGAAAAGTTAAAAAAATAAAAATATTATATATCAGTTCCTGTGGTATCCATGTCTTCAGCAGAAAATATTAAATTATGGTTTGGGCAGTCAAAGAAAAAATAATTAGTTATCCAAACCTGAGGCTTTCCATCTGTGTCAACAATTTTGAAGGGATGCCATTCAGGTTTCTTCAGTTCATGTTGCCAGTGAGAGCAATACTCTGCAGCTTTGATTTCTGCTTCATCTTTTGAGAACCTCTGCTTGCATGCAGGAAGAAACGGTCCATCATCAAGTTCACCCATCCTCTTGATGGCAATTAAAGATCGACTACCCAGCAAATCTCCCAGACCCTGTATATGTCAACAGATTTGTGATTATATCCCACAACCCAGATAATCCATGTAGATGAAGACAAAAAAAGGAGATATATACTACTATACAGAGGTCCAATTTGGAAAACAATATTCTGAAGCTAACATGGTTGTGGAAGTCATACTTGTATTAGCGCTTTACGAGCTTCTTGTAGCTCGTCATTGCTCTTTCGTTCTTTAACAACCAAAGTCTGATTCAAAGCCTCCAAATCGTCCATTTCTTCAATTTTTTCTTTAAGCTGCTCGCTCATCTCATCAATTTTTTTCTTCACCGTTGCATCTTCGTCTCCTTCCATATGCTTCATAATCTGCAACTGCCCTTTCAACTGTTGTATTTCCAGTTCTAGCTTCTGCTTTTGATCCAGCTGTTTTTCCAGTTTAAGTATTTTCTTGAGAGCAGCCTCCTTTTCCCTCTGTTGAAATCAGTTCCAGACATGTAAAAACACTATTCCTACTGTGAAACAAGTTTTGATAGAGAATTCCTGCTAAAGCAATCTAACTGAGAGCAAAACACCTTGTGATCTTCAAGAAGCTTCAACACATTTTCATCAGCTTTCTTCTGTTCCATAGTTGCCAACTGAAGTGAATTATTCTTCATGGCATTCTGCACCAAAATAACAATTCACTAAAAAGTACATATAAGAGTTGTCACAACAGTGATATCATGATGTTTCTCCCAGTCTCAGTTAAACGTGTGCTATTTTTTTATTCAGACAAATATCTGCCAAGCAAATTTTTTAGAAGTGGATGAACAAATGTTATAATTTGCTTTGCGTGGCATATGATGGCCTGACTCATTACTGCAACTTCCAGATCTGCATAGGTTAAAATTAATTAGAATCTAACGCCGTGTAAAGGAAAATTTTTGGATTGATCGTCAAAATAGCTAATGTTTTGCATGTGCTCAATCAAAATACCAAAGATCCCAAGACAGTCTTATTAGTGGTGGATTCATAATGCCTGAGTTATCCCATAATATATTGAAAAAATAAATTAAATAATACCAGGTTATGTAATGTAAACATATCATCGAGATACATGCTCTTAATAATCCCAATGAACACATCCTACATGTTTGATCCACCAATCAAGTCGCACACACAACTCTTCAGCAGCTAAGACATAACCAGCGTCTCTGCTTACAAGGATAAGTTTGCCGACATCGATCCTCCCCAAAAGCCTCGAACACCGGACTACTCTTTTTTCTGTAATTCATTTCTGACCAACAAATGGATGGAAACCGCCAATCTAACATGAAACCAACACAAGCGGTCCAGCTATCTATGTAAATCTCAATAATGCTACCTAGCTGTGGCAACTTACTGCAAAATACTCCATGTACTAGAATAGATTGGCATGTCAATCCAATATTACATTTCAAGTTCAACAAAGTCAAAGGAGCTTGCCAATCAAACAGTTTAAGAACATGAATACTACATATTATAAAAATATTAGATGTGAAAAATTCTTACCTTTTGTCTCTCATCGTCAAGCTTCCTTTTGTCAACATCATTTTGAGCAACCAGCTTATCAAGTTGATTGCGCCTCATTTCAAGCTCTTGTCGCTTGGAATCCAACTCCGACCTTAGCTTTTCGTTCTCAGTAAGTATCTTACGTGAATGATCACGAGCAAGGTGCTGCATTTTTCGAATTTCTGATGCAACAAGGTGTGTTATACAATAAATCATAGATCATGATCCAGTGACAAGAAAAAGGACATGAACAAGCTAAGTGACTGATCCAAATAAGCAGCTAATTATGTGCACACATGCTGATTTAAAAAAATTTGGGCAACATCATTCTCCAAGTGGTAAATTCTAGCTTCATATATCAATATACTCAGATAGCAGAAAAGAATAATCATTTAGTTGCCTCACTCACATAAGAAAGATACATCTGGGCCACATCATTCTCCGAGTGGTAAAGAACCTAGTTCAGCTGACTCATCTTTGACCAACGACATTAGATCACTATAAACCAAGCTACAAGTTCTTTTGGTATTTTACCATATCTTACAAATTGACAATAGAGGTACAATCATGAGATACACTAGCAGTAAAAGAAATAACTAAGCTGTACTATAACATAGCATCAAGCCAAAGTTGTGTGCCACAATGTTTATTTATCCTTTAATATTTTATGACGATGTGTCCATGCTATAAAGGATTGATATTTCTGTTTGTAGTTAAATCAACCATCCCGAACAGGATCAGAAAGCCTTTAGCCATGTAGAATACACTTGACAATTGAGAATTGGCATAATTATGGTGCCCGAAATTTGCAAAAGAGCAAAGGACCATACGAACCTTCATTATAAGCTTGGAGCAAGGAATCTCTCTCTTCCATCATTTTATCTAGCGATATTGTAGTTTCATTGTATTTACACTCTAACTCCTGTAAATGCTTGTTTTTCACTTCAATCTGGCTTGCTAAATTTGCCACAAGCCGGTCTGTTTTGCGGGATTCTTCTGTTGCAAGATCAGCAACAGATTTCAGATCACCATTTTTTCGTAAATAATCACCAACAGGACCAGCAGAATTGTAATCATCTGCTCTTGCCACCCAACCATAAATATCAGAACCTCGTTGTTTTTTTTCTAACCAGTTCCTCTTTCCATAATGCTCCGCTTCAAAATTATTTTCAAAAGCCATTGCATCTTTAAAACCAGTCCAATCTTTGGTGAAATCCATGATAGCAATTCCTGTGTGTCCTCTATGGTTCCATAACGGATGAACTTTTAATGGGTGAAATCTGGAAAGCTGCTCCTTCAGTCTGTTTCCACTCTCACCTACATATTGTCCATTCTTAAATTCAGTTGGAACATTAACTACAACACCCATCCAGGGCCAAACAAACTGATCTTCTGATGTGCTTTTAGAAGGCTTAGGCTGGAAAACTACCAGCTGCTCCGATGAACATGTAGTGTCAGTGATGTCATTGTTCAAATATTTTGCCAAGGCACGATGTGTTGCCTTCACTTTTCCCTTCCTGTTGGATGCACCGATGCCAGTTGCATGCTGAAGCAAATCCTTGTAGTTGTAGTCCTGCTTCTTTTTCCCAGAACAAAAGGGACATCTGCATGTTTTGTCTGTGTTTCTCACTATAAACTGTCCTGCTTTAAGCCGAAGGTAAATTTTCTCCTCATACTCTGGAACGTCAGAGTCACTGATATCAGATTCTTCTGAACTCTGATCCATCTGCTGAAGGAACTGAAAAATGAAAAAAGGGCAATTCAAAAAGAGAGTGTCAAGAATAAATTATACACTTGAACAATGGTAAGCATTAATAAATAATATATTAAGGATAAAAGAAATGACATGTAATCCTGAAGAAAGATTCATTGGCCAGCGAGCAATAGCAAAATGATAAAGTGCAAAAATTTGAGTGGAGACAGAGAAACACAAGATCCAAAGTAGACACATAATCTAAAGAATATGATATGGAGACAACATAGACTTGAGAAGCAAAATACCTGATGTCAGGATAAACTAGTTTGATAGTGATGCAATATAAAGGCAACAACTCAAAGCTTACATCTCAATACCATCATCCAAATTCACAGAACTGTCAAATGAACCTTGATAACCACCAATTCACTCAAGAACAAAATGACCCATCACTACATAACTACACAGATAGTTCCACTTCCCTTCCCTTCTCAATCATCAACATTCACCTACAGTAAAATCACCTATGAGCAGCTGCACAAGCCAATCCTTAGTTGCAAAATATGATGAATCTCCTTGCAAATCCAACCCATGATAAGAAGTCATTTACCATGACCTTGGGAGTAATCTACCACAAATTAGGTGCCCTGTAGCAAGTCTGGCTACAATACGGCATATGTAATTCTCATTGCAAAGTCTAGCAGTTTGCGGGGTATCAATGACTAGGAATCAGTTTAAGATGTTAAATTGTGAGAATGTTCAGATAAAACGTTAGAGAGACTATGAAAGCTCATAAAAAATAACAGACAGTAACATATATACTACCAGCAATGATACAACTAGATGACATAGGTCAATATCTAAAATAAGCAACAATCCCCGAGACATTTCCACTGCTGTACCGGTTCCTGGACAGACCAGTTCGTACCAGGTATACACTTGGTATGTACCAAAGAGGAAGAGGAAGAGGAGGAGGAGGAGGAGGAGGAGGAAGAGGAAGAAAGAAAAGAAGGCAGTGGAGGAAGAGGAGGAGAAACGGGAGGGAGGAAGAGAAAGGAAGAAAAGGAGGCAGTGGAAGAAAAGAAGGGAAAAAGGGAAAGAGGAAGAAAGAAGAGGAGGCAGTGCACCACATGATCATGTAATCATCAAGAACACAAAAGTCACACAAGTGTCAACATAGATCATCAGATTCACCCTCTAGGTGATGTGGGATCCTAGAGGCATTCTGGACTAGTATGTTGCTGCCACCTTCGATGATGTAAATCTCCACCAGATCATGGTTCACTATGACAAATAATAGTTACCATGTAACCCAACCACCAGGACTAGTCATTGTGCTAATATCATATTTGTCACAACTAAAGACCTAGAACGACATAGGTCAAGCCCAAAAAAAGAGCACTCAGAATTCATTCTTTGGATGTGAATAACCCAAATACCATCTAAAACCTTATTTCATAATCAACCTGGAACCATGTTGAGGTATCATATCTATTCACTAATAGACCACCTACTTTTGACACGAAACATCCCAGTGAACAAGGCTTCAACAAATATGGGATATTGAATCAATTTATACAACCTTATACCAACAATTGAAGAGGCCATTTTCATCAAACTCTTTACACTTTGGCCATAACAAGCAAGTAGCAACCTCTTACCAGTCTATGTTTTTTTCTTTGGCCCAAATGACAATTGGACAAATTTTGAGACGTATCATTCATCAGAACTTCATTGGACAATCAGCATAACTTACAATTGACTTATAACTAATTCAATCTATTACACTAACTGAAAAAATTTGATGCCAAAAGTTTTACAGAAGATATGCATCTTAAAAAAATTAAACAGCATTGCTGCTCATTACTCACCAAACTAACAATATAAATAAAGATAACAGAAAATAATAGAAAAACATAAAGTCATTTGGATCAAATATAAGTTTTAATGTTATATGAATAGATCTACGGTTGATTCTACAGTCATCCAAAATGAATAGATCTGGGTTGCTACTTCAGATGTACTAGCTTTTGATTCTTGCATATGCAAGTCCTTGGTCAACCTAAGTTAGTGAGAATTGTAAATCCCAATAAGAAGGGTTTAAAATAAATGAAAAGGACAGATTAAAAAGAACATATAGGTGTCCGTTGTGGTAGAAGGAAGATTTTTGACATTTTCTACTAGCATCAACCTACCTAGACCAGACTATTCCTTTGCAAAGGACAATAAACAAAGGACAATAAACAAACGAGAGATCCAAAATATAATGTGGAATTATTGTTTTACCAAGATATCATATATAACTGATCAAACAAGACTAATTCAATAACATCTCTAACGAATAGGATTCACTCTCTCAGCATAACAATGTATTGGCGGAAAACAGAGGAAGAAATATATGATGGAAAACGGTCTTTAACAGTCATATAACATGGTGATATGTGTTAATTAAAAACAACATATATAAAATTACAGCATCTGTTCAACACCTTACACTTCATAAACAGATTTAACTTAGTTCTCACTATGGAAGCATAAACATCTAGAAAATATCATCGCATTACAAAAGAGGACACCTAAACAATAACTAAACATGTCAAAACACATTCATGAGAACATGTTTCATTGTCTCAAATGCAATCCAACAAACATATTTGCTCAATGGCAGTATAAATTAGCATGGAGAAGCAAAAACACTCAAGAGAAGGTGCAATGGGCTCACTATAAACCCATCGGGACGTAACAACTGGATTCTAGAAGCCCAACACGTCTATCCAAACACACACAGACAGCAAAAGATCCACTACAGCAGCATATTCCAGTTGCATATTATCCGCAAAACCACTAATACGCCCGAAAAGTAGAACGATCGGAGGCAAGAAAAGTGAAATAGAGGATCAAAGAAAAGAAGGCACTACCACGAGCGATAAAAAAGCAAAACCACAACAAGACCAAGTTGTTGTATAACCATGGCCGAGAACAAAAACCCTAAACCGCTAAACCCTACGGCAGGGATCTTTTCTCTTACTTAGAGAAGAGATGAACGACCGAAACGCGCAGCCCTAAGCATCAAACATCTCGGAAATTAGTTGAAATCAAGAAGAAGAGGTAGGTGATCACCGGCTCTAACCAAAGGACAGGATCGTGGGGGGAGGACGGAGAAAAGGGAGAACCGGAGAGAGATCCTTCGGGAAACTAAACTGAATCAAGCATTCAGGATATAAACATCGTTTTGGGGATTAAACGGAACGGGAAGAGAGACGCATTCAGTTCCGTTCCGTTCCGTCCCGATCAGCATTCTCAAAATACGAAAATGTTGCCCCGGGGAAGGCAAAGAAGGGCAAGTGATGGTTGCTCTAAGGACAGCTACGCGTTCGGGGACCGAAGCATGTGCTTTGCACGTGAGGTATCCAAGATCGGTCGTTCGAGTGTCAAGAAAACCCAATAAAATGGGAAAGCTCCATTCTGGAATCATCTAACGCACACCACTTGAATGGCGACGAAATGAAAAGCTGTTCAAGGGTCTTCCATCGCGGGTGTCAGATTAATAATAAAAATTAAATATCTAAAACAATAATTCAACCAATTAGATGATTGGCTGATATTTTGACAAAAGATTTTTTTTTTCTTTTTGTGACGATACAACAGACTTTCATTGCATAAAATAAGTTATGCAATTCCTAAAGGATTCAAAACAAATTGTTATTCCAAATCTACATTCAAATCAAATCCCTTCTTCCAAAACCCATATAAGAAGAAAAGTCATCAACAAGAAGCCCCAAGTCCCACTCATTTTGGAGTCAAGCTAAATTGTGGGAGACAATACAGGTATCATTGAGCAAAACGGGAAAGTAGAACCGGCTTTATAACATTTCCCTGCCACTGTTGCTTCGTTCATAGTTTTACAAAAGATTCCGCCACACAAGTGTTGAAACATGAACAAATCCAGCGTCTTATGCAGATGACTTAACCGTAGCAGACTTGATAATGTCCACAAATTCTGGCTGTAGACAGAAAGGAAAAGAAGTCAGAAACCAGGTTGGGAAATCAAAGTGTAGCAGAGTTATAGAAGGGCTGATCACTTTTTACAGCCAGGTATGATCAACTAGCCATAAGAACATAATCGAGAAACAGCAAGCATGAACAATGGACAAGTTTTTGTAAGGTGGTGCAATTCCTTCCTGGTCAGAGGACACCTTTCATTTCAATTGTTTCTCTAACAGCAGACTGCCTTCAGTACGATATGCTTGCTTCATTCATTCAAACAGGTTGTTTTCACAAACAAATGTGTCAGTGTCAATTCCATCCAAGTGTGCATATTCAATTAAATTGGCAATGTCGACTATGCTGATAGAAGCGAACAAATCCAACTGCCACTTGTATCAAGAAACACTCTTCAGCTGCAGCAGAGTATAGCTTAACCGGTGATCAGGAGTCAAACTCTCAAAGGCCCAGAGATTTTTTTTATAAATTCCTATTTTATAAAAAGGATAAAAGAAGAGTGATGTCAGACAAAAACCTTCAAGGAAGCTCCACCAACAAGAAACCCATCAACATCAGGTTGTGCTGCCAGTTCTTTGCAATTGGCTCCATTTACAGAACCTGCAATTATCATGATGGACAATTAACAGCTAAAATCCAGCAATAATCTTTATAAAGAAACAATATTTCACAGATATATACCATAGAAAATTCACTTCTCTGACAATCTTGACGTATTGCATTAAATTCAACACGTTTGAAAATGTAATAGTTGGCTTCAACAAAAAGCTGAAGTCCACCGGTTAATGCAAAAATTGGTTTACGTTTGAGAAATATGACTTTTCTAGACAATTTGAAAGATGTACCTCCATATATAATCCTAGTTGATGCAGCAACTTCAGGACTCACATTATCATGAAGCAATTTCCTTAGAGCTGTGTGAACCTGGTATATTTTCCACATGATGGTGAGAAAAAATGTGCTAAAAATGATTTAATGAAGCTATACATAATGTGATATGTGTGTGATTATGTTAGTGGTACATATTTTGGTGCAAAAGTTTGATACCATAGCAAGGTCCATAACATCTTGTTTCAGAGTTAAAATAAAAAGAACCGGAATCAGTATGAGGATACAATAGTAGCAACCTTTACAATGGACACACAAAGTGTTTATATCTTGAATCACAATAGGTATATGCGCTAGGGAAACATTAAACTAAAACAATGTTCATCTCCATTTAAAATAGAGTAGAGAATTCCTACTAGAAAACAGAAAAAAGAAAATGTGCAATTTAAATTACGTAGTATATTTCACAAATGAATAAAGCAAATTTGATTCCTATATGCACTTGAAACCTTCATAACTCCTCAGCAGCAGGAATACAACATCTTACTAGCAGAGATATCAAACATTAATAACCGTTGCATTTAACATAACAAAAAATGGTAAGAAATGATAGGATACAGTTAGTTAATTATCACTAGCATCAACTGATAACACAACCTAAACAACCGAAGCAAATTTGGTTATCTCTAGTTTATCTTGAATCGAGTAACCACAAGAATTTTGATAATGAATACTGATGATAAATTATCATGCCAAGTAGGATAAAGAGTTACTATATCTATCACTCACTTGGATAACATATTATTGTCCAAAAATTTAAGGTTGATGAAACAAGCTACAGAGTCATCAGGTATCACATAACACACCTCCTGAGCCTGAGTGGGGGTTGCAACTTTGCCAGTTCCAATGGCCCAAACTGGCTCATAGGCTAACACAACATTGTTCCAATCGGATATCCAGCCTGCAAGAAACAACTCCTTTAATAGTAACCATTTGTGACTTTTGACATAAAAGTTCAAATTCAGACTATGATCCTTGAAAAAGTGAAATGAAGAACTGAAAGTTAAGAAACAGATCTATTCGTATAGGAAAAAAGAAAAGAAAAAGGAGAAATAACATGGAAATGATGCAGTGGAAGATAAACCATCACAAGTTACCTAGTCTACCAGTTCAACAATAGCTAGATATACAGTTTTCCCAATGATGCAAAATGATAACACAAAAAGTAAATATCTGCTGATAATAAACAGTTCATATAAAGTTATAAAAAATTAACACTCGCATTGCCTGCAATTGCTTTTGTTTGTGCAGCAACAATATCCATAGTTGATCCTGATTCTCGCTGCTCTAGTGTCTCACCAACACAGGCAATCACCTTTAATCCTTGAGAGAGTGCATATGCAACTTTGTCTCCCACAAACTGCCATTGATGAAGCAAATACATATCATGCTGAATAACTGTGTTACAAAACCTAACTGAGACCAAAAGAGTTCTAATTTATTGTTGAGGTACAATATTGACACTCACATGCCACCTATTAGGAAAGATTCTAGTCTATGCATTGAGCTGCAGACCTTGATGAAGACAATAATCCTTTGAGTTGGGAAGATAGATACTCCAGTTAGTACCACATAAAAAGAGGAAGGATATTTATGCTATCATCAGGGCTAGATTGGTTCACTCCAAGTTAGTGGGATTAACAATCCATCAAACCAGGTGGTGCAATGATTATTCATATCTTGTACCGGTTGATTAGTTTCAGGCACATACAGTCATAACATAACTCTAGGTTAAGCTACATTTTCCTCCATAAGTATACCAATTTTTGGCTCTCTGGCATAGCATTCTGCAGATATTCAGCTTATACAACATTAAAGATCATCCCATTAACTTTTATTGAAGTGGGTTCATTTTTTCTTGCACTTATATGTGCACATAACTGGGTTGCTTTTAATTAAGAGGAACTCCGACAATATCAAATTAGCTTAAAAAAAATTGAAGTACCTATTGCGATATTCCCAAAATTTAAACTGGGATATGCAGTGAGGAGGTCCACACGAGAATTATACAATGATTAAAATAACTGTCAACTAATATAAATGCAAATGATACAAGTGACATAAGGAAAACTTGCCTCATTTGTTTCACCCAACAATAGCCTCCTTTCAGAGTGACCCAAAATGACCCAAGGAATGCCCAGATTTACAAGCATCTCAGCACTGCATGAGAATCAATATGATAAACTTCTCAACTCTTGCATGTTCGAGTTTGTTTAAGAAGATTGAATTTAGTCAGGAACATTTATCAAGTATACATCACCATACATCACAAGAGCACAATATTAGATTTAAATTGCATTAGTTGAACCAATCAAAGAAAATGGAACAGATAGTTCTAGGGAATTTACCCTTATTTCCCTAAAATGACTATGGTGATTTTGGTGACACAGCATCTAGATTAAGATGCTTGACAAAAATTCAATAAAGTACAAGAGATGCCAATATGGCGACTAAGGCCAGCTCCTAGACTACATCCATCAAGAATGACATTTTCTTTGTTAAATATATTTTAACAATTCAGGTTTCATACATAAGCTGATACAAATGAGCAACTGTTGGTGAGAGCACAAGTTCTCTTGGCATATGATTAAATATGTTGAGATATAAGAAGATTACATCCAGTAGTTAACAATGACTCAGGACAAATGTGGTCTTTAAATTATCAAGACCCAACTTGCTGCAGTTTTGGCAACACTGAAATTTCAGCCACTGAAGAAATCACCACAGATTACAGAATCTAACAATGTTAAAATATATCTGCAATTTTGGTAGACTGAATACTTCTGTTTCCTGATGTTTCTGTATGATGACTTCTTGAGTTAATATATCTACTTCTTTTCTTTAAAAAAAAAGGAAAAATAGTCTTTAAGTGAGCTTCTGATTCTAGCAGGTAATGAAACAGCCTTCTCGCACATGAGAAGTTAATGTTTTCAGCTCAGTGATATTAATAAATCACATGTGAAAGTTTACAAAGGTTGAGCAATGTCTCGCTGATAATTAATATATCAAATTCATTTTGCAAGAAGGGTCAGAGAGGCATGATGAATACAAAGGTTGAGCATCCGATGAGTAGAATTGAGAGCATTGACCTTCAAGCATGATATTTCCATATTTTAAAAATTTACATATCCTCAACAACCACTTAGAGGAATGTCTTACCTAACTTCACCTGTGAAAGCACCTCCTTTCCTTGCCCAACAATTCTGTGCAGCAACTTGAAAATCAGATCGCAGCAAGCTTTTCACCAAACTAAGGAAAACAAAAGGAGGGCTCACAACAACATCTGCAAAAACCATTTACAAGACCCCAATAGTCATGTGTTGACCAGAAGACAAATCATTGTGATGTCATCGAATGTCATAACACGTACATATTATTATGGTCATTTCCGATGATCCTATAATAAACAAGACTCTGAACAAGTGGCTCCAGCTAACTGTCAAGTGCATTCGTAGAGGTAAAGATCATAATTTCATTGTTCTCTGAGCCAACTTTGACTATTGCTCAAAGTTTACAAGTTTGTGCAGTCTAACATCCAGATACTCCTTTTAGCCCATATCAGGTGATTAGCCGGCTTAAGATGACATCTTTCTCTTCCATATGTGTATTTCTAACAGATCAGATATATTTGTGAAGCTTAACTAGTCTGGCCTTGCATGACGGTAAGAAGAGATCTTAACCTCCTCACTAGTCGGACTTGTTTACCATATAATTTTTCTTTGCGTGTACAAAGTTAATGCAATGTTTAAGGATATAGCAAAAAGTAAAATTCAACGATCTATGTCATCTTTCCTAGTGCAAGTCCATAACAGGCAAGTAGGACTCACAAAACGACACAGAAAAAAAGGGCATGCTCTAAAGCCATTTATAACTTAAGTGAAGTTACATAGATTCACATATTTAAGATGATGGCATCCTATCCTCCGAAGAACCACTATGAGAAAGACTGCTGTTGGAGAACACAAGTGCATACACACACAATAAATGATCACAGGGAACTAAAAGTGCATTAAATTGGTACAAGAACAAATTTTCGTGCTTAACTGACATTGTGAAAATTACATGCCGGATCAAACACTCAAATCCATCTAACAAACAAATGTAACATCATCAGAGCAATTTAGGTTTAAGCCATACCCACAACCTCCTCAGGCGGAACTTCAGCTTCGTTCAGGACGGTGACGATCTTCTTGACTTGTTCAACTGTCCCATTCTGCATAAATTCCCAACCAAAACCACATTTAGAGAAGGGAAACATGAAAGATCGAAGCAAAACAAGAGCAACCATTTCCAAATTATGAAAAAGATCACCAAAACCCCCTTGTCCTCACGTTTCGGAAACCGTAGAACAACCACAGACCAGGTGATTCAGAGATGTCGAAGAAACAATCCGAAAAAAGACAAGCGACGCGAAGCTCCATCAACCGTGAACGGCGAAGAAATTAAACCCCAATGAAATTATCGATCGAGAGCTCTTCAGAAACGGGAACTTACGCATTTCCAGTTGCCGCCGACGAAAAACTTCCTGGCCATTGTTCTCCAAGAATCGGACGAGGAAACCAAGTAATTGGGGCGGTCCGATCACAGATTTCCCGTTCCGTGCAAGTCTCGAGACTGGAGAGAAAGGCGGTATGAATGGGCCAAAAGAGTATTGCAATTAGCCGGGCCGGAAAAGATGAACATGGCCCGGCTCAGCTTTGAACCAACTCGATGATTATGATCGGATCAGGCTCGGCCCGCACGCTCAATCGATTTATACATTGAGAGTCATCGAATCGATTTATAGGGACAGTTGGCGACTCGTAAACTTGGGAATCGAAATGGAATCAAGAATATTCTTCAGTCCACCACATGCAAAAGCGCAGGAAGGGTCGACGAAGAAAGCTACAACTCAATTCGACGTCGTTGAATGATGGATGGGAGATGGAAGAGAGAGAAAAGATGAGTTGCTCCATTTGCACAGATCTGACATGTTCGAGGATGCGTGCAGCCCAATCCACGTCCGGATTTATTGGATCTCATGTCTCGTGCACATGGGAGAGGAGTGATGCCGTGGACTTTGGTAACCCAGTCAAAATTTTCAGCTACGTGTGTATGGCTTTAATATATCTTGAAGAACAATTATAGTTATGATTAAACATGTATTAATTTGATAATTAGAATACGTAAAATTACCTAACACTTTGCAGACTCGATGTTGAAGACCAATGTCCTTTTACGTCAGGGTCGATCTGGTGATGCCCACAAGCAGACAAAGCGGTCCCACAGAGAAGTCGCACTGCCAAACAGGGTGGATGGCAGGGGCAGTGGAGGAAGATGAGACACGAACCCCGAAGCCAAGGAAGGGAGAGAGAGAGGAAGAGAAGGGTAATTGGATCGGCGAGGAAGAGGAGAGCGACGTAACCAGTCGCTGACACCAAAGACGAAGCGCCAGAGAGAGGAAGAGACGAGGTGGTGGAGGAAGAGGTCCAGTCTCCATCGATTCGTCTCCTTGTGCCGCGAAGCGCGCACTAAAACGCAAATCTTTCCACCGCGCCTCTCTCTCTCTCTGTCTCTCTTCTCAGGGCCCATGACTGTATCTGCAGTACAGGTCCCGCCATTGCCATTGCCAGGCATGGCCATTTCCACCCACAGTGTGCCACCACCCCCCTTGGCAACCGCGCCTTCTGTTTTCTCTTTTCCCCTGCCTTCTCATCTCTCTCCAATGATGCCACTTGCTCTCACAGTGAAAGTTCCCGTTCGTATCGGGGCACACAGTGCCGGACCCCAACTGTTACTGCTTTCTACAGTTTCTACAATTACTACGACGACGACGACGAAGAGGAGTTAAGGTGTCTCTTTATTCACTGTTACTACGATTACTGCTACGGCGACGACGACCATGAGTAAAGTTAGTATCTCTTATCCCCCCGTGTAGATAGATTTGAGTGAGTCCAATATCTTTGGCAGATCTGTAGCTCAGTAGCTCGTATCGGGAGGGGTTTTACATGCTTGAGGTAAGCGAGGAGGCGGGTAGCTTTTGCCATTAACTGGCAGCAGAGCTGCCGGTCCAGTCTTGTCTCGGAACGTAATGGATCCATGAGGGAAGGCTGGTCGCTCATGAGTTGGCAACGCAAGAAACAAAAAAGGGAAGGCTTCCCGTCGTACGACGCGATGGTTCTTGGCATGACAAAAAATGCAAGCGCAGCACAGAAGATCGCGCCACTCTCCGCCGGGGGGGCGGGGCGGGCAGATTACCTCTGTAAGATTGTCAGATGTCCGGTTCCATTGATCTCTCTCTTCCATCATGCATTTATTACGTTCTTGTTCTTACACCTTCCCGTCTTTTGCAAGGATGAAGGCACTGTTCCCATCCGCTGGATAAGTCTCATGTCCCAAAGCATGGATTTATCGTTTATGCTGCTCCGCACTAGCCTACCCTCTGCCACTGTTCCACCTCTAAGCCACCTCTCTCTCTCTCTC